AGATCGAATGTGTCAATAATTTTTTAAAGACTCAATTATTACATCCCTCGGTGTTTCCCCTCCGTGAACCGTTCAGAGGGAGGTTTAAGAATAGAATTAATTTTTGTCTCAACAGAAAACTTATTACTTATAAAAATGAAAATCCTCATTTCTACTCAATTCAGTGATTTTTAGACGCCTCTAGCACGCTGGGTATCTGGCCGTTTTTCATCCCGATTCGGTTGATGTTTTATGGAACTATCTGATAATAATTCAAAGAAAAAAATTTTCTTCCCCACCAATTGAATTCTGAAAAAAATGCGAAAGATAATTCCTAAATTTCCAGTAAAGACAGGTGTCCGGCTCATGCGGTGCTTTTACAACGGTCGTAAACACAGAAATTGAGCCTACGCAAAAAATTTGACCTACCGAACTAACCTGCGCTGGGAAGGGACTGAACTCGCATCGTAGAGCTGCTTTAAAATTTAGCTGAAATTTTGTATATAGTTTTCATGTTTTCGGATGATGCATTCATGAAAAACTGATAAGAAAGGAGGAAAACCTTCTATGATGACTGTAGTGCGTCAGTAATACGCTTCAGGCGGCAGAAGGGGGCAAGGAAAATCCACGATAATGTCAGGGAGTGGTGGAAGAGGGGATTCCATTCATTAGGCCAGAAAAATTGTTCTTCAATATTTCATGTATCAAGTTTTTAATAACTTCTTATTCTTTGGTTTTTTGTATTTTTTATTCTTTGATTATTTTTGATATATTGAGAATTTTATATTTCCCATATATTTGAAAGAAGTGTCAACTACATTTGTAACAAAAAAGGCATTAGACAAACCTAACTTGACCCGAAGGAATCCTGGGTGCGTTTATTCAACTCAGCAGGTTAATTATGCTTATTTCCTTCAACTCTATTTTATATCATTATTTTTCGAAACATTTTAATTAATTTCATATATCCTTTAGATTGGAAAAATATATTTTGCCCATGAGGACTATCCAATTCTCAATATATCAAGAATAATCAGAGACTAGAGAATCCAAAAAAAAAAACAATTACCCAGGTGACACACCTGAACCCTCACTCGGAGCCATACTTACTACCTGACACGGGCGTATCATTGAGGATATTTAACTTCTACCCAAGTTTTATGACCTCTACTGCCAGTAGGTCAAAAATGTCAGTCAAACTTTGAACACACGGCGCAACCATCAAAATGCAGTTTAAAAATATGAAAAAATTCACAGGGGTATTTTATCAACTGAAGAATCATTTTTTGAGACGAAATCGGAAATATTCAGGAATATCCGTAAAATGGGCCACCCTAATACCCAGTCACTTTGCAATTAACACAATAACCCGGTTTATACTGACTGTGACATTGGTTCATCATGTGGCCCGTTTTCCCACAAGCATAACAAATTGTGTCATTTCTCATTATATTATTACCTGAACTCTGATTCTGTGTAACATTTACTCTGGCTGATCGGTGTGATCGATTGTGTGGATTATACGGTCCGTGATTTTTATAATGACCATTCTGATGATTTCGCGAATAATTGAGAGAGGGGCGATTGTTCTGGCTTTCTGTGTTGTTTGAAATTTTATTTTGCTCGTGCTTGAAAATATCGTTACGTTGTTCAATCTCTTTTTGTTTTTCAATCGCGATTTTAACAGCTGCTTTGAAATTTATCGGTTTTTCATTTGAAACTTGTGAACTCAACTCACCCCTCAAACCGCGAATAAAACTATCGCGAGCTCCCTCTTGTGTTGTCGCCAAAAGCCCGGCTGAAAGTTCAATTGGATATTTCTCTTGAATTAATTCTGTAATTCCCTGAATAACAACATTTATTCTCGCGACATAATCGATGATTTCTTCTTTCGGTTTTTGATGAATAATTGCCAGTTGACCCTGCCATTGAGAAAGTGTCTGGCGAGGTGCAAATGCTTGTTTGAGATTAGCAAAAATACTGTCAAGAGTCAAAATAGTCTGATTTGCAATATATTTGCTGGCTCTACCGGAAATCTTTGATTTTATCAATTGTATGAAATAAGTGTGATAAGTCGGTGATGCAAGCGAAACTGCTTATTTGCACAAATCGATGAAATTGTTTACTGGGATATTGTCTCCATTGAAGTTTGGAATTAAGTTTGAAATATCTTTGATGGACATTGAAGGCAGAGATTCTTGGCTGCTCCTACTCGCTCGAAGTAGTTATGAAATAATTATTTTAAAATTCCTAATAAATGCTTCTCTCTTCTAGAAAAACTAACTGAACTGAAAATTTTGTACTCTCTCTACTAGGCATGGAAGAAACTCCGGCCCGATCAGTGTATCTCGCTACTACTCAGTAAAACCGCAGAAAACCTGAGCAATACCCTGACTTGTCCATCCTCAAAAATGATACTTATTTCTAGACTTACAATTCTTTTACGAATTACAGCTAATCCAATTGTTTCACTTGTCACTATAATTTTCTCTTTGATTGACTAATTGCCCATAAATCTTCACTTCCACTTCGCACTTTATTCTGCTCGATGAATCCTCTGGAAACTGCCTGGCTGCAACCGCCCTAGACCTCTTAGGTGAAACTGCCGGAACTCCGCTTCACTCGATCCCGATGTTGATAGGAAAAATATTTAATTGAATTCAAAAATTCAAATTCCACTTCCGATGAATGCGGCTATCCCACCGTTGTCACCAATTTGTTATGTCTTATCCAAGTTACTAGGAGGACAGTAGCGCCATTTGGAATATTGAACGCCAAACTTTGAAGTGTGGATCCGTTAGCCGCTAAACCTCTGATGAGGACTCCATCGATGCTGACTCGTTCAATGATAGGATAATTGGATTGAAGGTTTATTTGTGAATAAATCCAAACACCAGTGCTTAGGAGAGCACATTAACACTTTTATTCAAAATAACTCTTGACTCAAACATCTAAAACTTGGACTACAAACTGGATGAACTTCTAATAAACTTATATAAACTCGTAAAAACTCTGAAGAAAAACTACTTGAAGAGAGAAGCTTGAAAAGTTGTCGGAACAACAGCCACGATGGGACTGACTTAAACTTAAGTTTTAAATCTAAGGGTCGGCTCAAAACACCTCCACTAGGCCAAAAAGTTGCGCGCGCAATCCTGGCCCAGAGGAAAGGGAAGAGGGGTAAGCCAAAACAGAACAGGGGAAATGAAAAGAGGGAAGAAGGAAAAGCGTGCGACGTCGCCAGTTTTCCTCTTGAGGGGTCACAGGCCCTCCGCGTAGGAATACAATGAACAAAGGAGAACCCAAACACGTGTGGACCACTTGAAATAGAGAAACTTTCGAAATATACCAGAATTGAGATTTTACGATTTTACGACTGTGACCGATGTGTTTATTTTTCTCTCTGAGTTTAGAATTTTCAGGAAAAGCCTTTCTGTAACGAATTTTGGAGAGTAATAAATTGAGAACTCAACTCAAGTACTTGACATTTACGATTGCTGGCAACGGTTTTTCTTACACTCGTCAAATTATTTTTTGTCCATTGTTCATTGTCCTCTGTTCGACCATTTTCTTGGTATTCTCAAATTTCATACTTTTTATATTCATTTTGAAATAATAATTCAAATCTCGCGGATTAAAATGGCCGATAAATAGTGCCATCTATAAAATTCAACGTCGGGACGTTACAAGATTTCTTATTTTCAAATTTAACAATGGAATTAAAATGTAATTTTACTTTCGGTTGACACTTCTGATCAGGCGATATAAAATTTTCGTACAATTTTTTACAGCATAATTTCTTCAACAAACATTAGCAATATGTCGAAAAATAATCGACCATATCGATATAATTATAATTGTGCGATTTATGTCTACTTTCTTTTTATAACTGCGCCGATGTAGCCATATCAATTACTAATACAGCATATTTAGGAATTGTGATAATAAAACAAAAAACTATTATATTGATTCTTGAAGCCAGTGATATACCGCAACCACGAATAAATATCATACTGAACATTTGAATACAAAATAGTTAGGCAGCGGAATTAATTAATGCCTCCAATCAAGAATTACTTCAATGTACTCTTGAAGATATGACTACTCTTGATGAACTAATATCTTCTTACTTGTATTTACGGTAAAAAATTGATAACTGTAAGGTCATTAACTGTAGTCTGAGTATACCGGCGGAATTACAACAGTATTTGAGGGTTGTATGTGATTAAAAATGATTACGGATATAGATTCTAACCAAGAAAGTAATCCTAAGAATAATATATCTACCAATGAATTTTTTTGACGAAAATTCCTTTAGTCTTCAGCCCTTGGATTACGTTAACGGGAATTAGAACTTGTAAGAACCTTTGCATTGATCTCCTTATAGAAATGGAACTAGCAGAATCCATAAAATTGTATTATTGAGTATGACGCTAAAAAATCAATAATAGTAGTTATATAACTCCCGTATAATTATACTATCGTACAACATGTATTCAACTATTCCAATCCAAGAGCCTATTCTTTAATGTAATTTTTAGTTTGAGATTATTCGAATCAGGCGCTTAAAAATACTGCGGATTTTCGATTTAGCCGAATGGTATAGCGAGCTCTGCTTTATCGACCTTGGATGATAAGGCAGGGAACAACATCTCGATCAAAGATACAAAACATAACGGACATATAATTAGCAGGCAATTAGCGAATTTTGGAATGAAACTAATTCCAATCATTTGGGAATAGTTTAGGATAGTTTAGGAATTAATTTCATAGTTTAGGAACAAATAGTTATTTATAATTAATTACTTTTTTATATGGCGTATAGTTAGCAGGTGGTATGACCAATCATTGATCGGACCGGTTTAGATCGATGTAAAATCACTTGGGAAGACCAAAAAACACTGACTTAGAGTTTGGGAATTAATACTTATTTTTTAATCAATTTTTTTCTAATTCTGACTGGGGGGCAGGTTGCGCACGCGCAGACTCCCCCGGGCGACCGTCAGCTGTGCGTTGAGCACTCAGTGATTGCATTGAGATTAACAGAATGAGTAAGTACTGTGCTTTAAATGTCTATTAAGTCTGGAATGATTAATTTCTTAGTACTTATTTCCTCGAATTATTTCATTTCTACGGTTCAAGACCAATGGGGCAAAGTGCCGGAATATCCAAATGATTTTTAAATATTAGTTTCTCAACAGAAAAACAATGTGATCAATGCTGGGGAAAGAGGTTAGAATCCTGGATATGGGAAAAAAATTCTTTAGTCTAAACCCTTCCCTTAAAAAAAATAAGAGAACGACGATCCTCATAGACTAGGACGAGGAATGTGTCGATATGAGATTGATGATTTGTCTTGTACAAATTCACAATATAAACCCTACTTTTCGAGACTCTGCGTGTGTTCCTGTTAACTCTCAATTCATCCTCCACGAAATGACCCAGGCAAATCGACTTCTGGAGGGAAAAGTTTATTTCTATCCATGTTTTTTTTCCTTGGAAAGAGACCTGAATGTCGAAATGCTTATTTCAACATCTTCAAAGGGGTGCCAAGGTGAAGCTTGGAGTCTTTAGCTGATGAGAATAACATTGAGCGTCATTTTTATGAGTTGTTGGTTTAGAATGCTCCTTGCATCCCAATTAGTTTCATCCAATAGAAACCCTCTTTTCTAATGTTTGTTTGATTCCATAGCGTGAAACTAGGCATTTTTTTTATTTCCGTCTCAAATAGATCGTCAAAAAATTTAAATCATCGGCTCACTAATTTTTTTATTTTGGCATGCCCCACCTAAAAATCATTGGGACGAGTAATTGAACTTTGAAATAGTAGGTAATAGGCGTTTAGTTGTAAAGAAAGAAAAAGTTGAGGAAAAATGAACTACTCAAAGCAATAATTTCCATATGGCATGTTAAAACAAAAGGAATGAGTAAAACGAAAAAATTAATTTTCTCACGATGTACTTGGAATTAAAAAAAAACATGTTTTACCCCATGGAATTTGACAAACTTGAAAAAAAAATTAACTGGATGAAAGTTGTGGTGCGAGAAGCTTTCCAAAACCCTGAAAAAATACGTTTTATCTCGATGTATGGAGCAGAACGGATTGAGTCCGAAATTTTGTTTTACTTTTCTAGGTAAAACATTTCTGTGATAAATTAATGATCGCTGAATGACTACCCTCATCGACTTTCAAGTTTCACCTTAGCACTTTCTCATTACTCTCTGGGTCTTGTTTTCAAACTTGTCGCTATCTATCGGGCAGACATTTCCATCTTCCTTTTTCACAATAGGCTTCCCTGATGTCGATGACATCATAACATTATGATGTTATAATATCAATATATTTTAGGTCATGGGGCGCCCTGCGAAAGTGAAGAGCACGGAAGTGATCCCACTTCTCGTAAAGAACATGGATATTTTCAAGACTAACGACTTCCCATCAACGACAGATAAGATTTGGACCAACCTAAGTGAGGCGCTGGGCAAGCGATGGCTGCCCCATTCGTGGTACACCCATGTGACTGAGGATAAAAAAGGGGATCTGACAGCTGCTCGCCAACAATATGGTATCTCCACACCATCTCCAAGAACTGTAGAAAAAACTGTAGAAAAAAAAGATGTCAGTGCTTCTGAGCTGTTCAGTGATGATTCAAAAGTTCAAAACTTGGAATCTTCGTTCAAAGATGAAGAAATGGATCCTAACTTGGAGGAATTTCACGTGTTCTTAGCATCTGCAGCCTGGGATAAAATGAAGCCCGATAACACTTCAGAATCAACGACAAGGCGATTGAAGGCAGGAATGTGGGTCAATCCAATCGCAAATGCATTTTATCTTAGATATAACATGCCCTGTGCACTCATCGGTGAGTGGTCCCAGGTGAAGACCGACGAGGATGGGTCAGTTCACTTGAAATTCCAACCAAAATGTAAGAGTAAAAAATGTAGCAATGTGTTCTTCGGAACGGCTAAGCATTCCGGGACAGGAGGTCTCAACCTGGATATCAGAGCTCGTGACACTCGTCATGAATCTCATGAAGATGTTAAACGTCCTTTGAATGGTTTGGAGAGGGTTCAGGTTGGAGACAATCTGGTAAAGCAGCAGCCAGAGAACTATCGAAAGGAACTACTCCGAGATAACATGCACTTCGGTGAATCCGTGCCACCAACGGTCAGGCGAGGATATATTTATCGTCAAGCCAAAGCAGAGGCAGTCAAACGTGCTTATTGTTACATCGTAACCCGTTCAAATCTACGCGCGCGCTGAATGCTAGTTTTTATCTAGTTCGCCACGCCACCGCTGCGAATTNGTGCAACGGCCACCTCATATCTTCGTAATTTAATTACGAATATCGTCTCGGAATCACACAACGTGTGATTCCATAACCTATCTTTCGCATTATCGACACGCGTGTGTGTGTGTACATGTCCATAGCTGCGTCCGACAGTTCACATCGTAGTGTTCTTAGGACAGACATTGCAGTGTGGTAGCGTGTGTGTATGTGTATGTAAAACAAGTGTCATTCGCAGTTGTAATCGATCCATTATATCCTAATCAATAAATCTGGGTTTTTTATGCCGTAACGGCTTTTTCCCATCCAATTTTGTGTTCGAATTATTTAATCCCTTTTTTTTTGTGTGTTTGTTTTTTATCGATTATTCGTGATTTTTAATTCGACTATCATACCACCTAGGGTATGATAGCCTGTACGTCATTTCACTTATGCTATTCCGAAGGGAGATAAAAGAGATCAGCTGACAATCATTCGGGACCTTATCGTAGACCCTGAGTACTCTTACAATATTCTGGATCTCTCTATTCACCCATTCCACCTAACATATTGCACAAATGAACAATCCTATGTGTACAAAGAATATCGTCGGATTGGGGGGAATCCGAAAATTATTCCCGATGCGACGGGATGTGTAGTCAACATATTCGAGAAAGCTCCTGGACTTCTGACAGGTCATATATTTTTGTACACGATAACTATTAGTTTTGAAAAGAAAACTATTCCTGTATATCAGGTTCTCACGGAGACAGGATGCTGACTTCTTAATTTTTTGGTTGAGGACTTGGATTAGGATATGTAAAGTATCACCACCACGACAGGCCATAAGCGATCAAGAGCGGGCCTTAATGGTAGCGCACTGCGTAGCGTTTAATGGAGTGACAATTAAACAATATGTCAATAAGGTTTTTTCATTGGCTGCAAGCGATGTTAAGAAGGAGGAGAAACATTTCCCTGCGACGACAATCATTAGGATTGATATCGCTCATTTTATGGCTGCAGCAGCTCGGCTGGAATGCTTTAAGGACAACACCAGGTTTCGATTGAAAAGATTTTATATAAGAGCAATCGCTCTCCTAGTAGATTGTGAGTCACTTCAGGAATTTCAGCTAGTTTTCATTCTCACATGCCTGGTGGCTATGATGCCTGTGAATGATTACGTTGTAGAATTTCCAAATGCAGTAGAATTATGTGGTGATCGCTCTCTAGGGCTTGGGGAATCAAAAATGACTGCAGAGCAAGCACGAAAACGTTTGGAGGAATACATTTCTCTGCGTGGACCCATAATCGAGAACCTTCACGACCAAAGTGACAATGACAAGCTGGAAGTTTCTCAGAATTTCCAAGAATTGCCTGAAGAAACAAAGACAACTCGGATATCGATTACACACAACTGGATCAAGCGTTTAATTTCATTAGTTAACCCTGAGAAACCTAAGAGCATTCCAGGAAGAGTGGAGAACGCCCTTTATTTCCCCCATCTTGTTGATGAGCTCGAGAGGATCGCTAAAGAGTTTCCTCTTTGGAGCTCGGCTGTACTACCAAGTTCTTTCGTGCCAGACCACGCTTCAACAGCTGCTTAAGAGGGTTATTTCAATCAGCTGAAGAATCGCATATTCGGGCATATCAAGTTGCCCTGTAATTTCCATATTTTTTTCAAAGAACATTTGAAAGATATATGGGGTGCCCAGAATGAAATGGCAGCTGAGTTAAAGGCTTTCATTTATAGACCATAAGAACAATCCCCTCCGTTATCATCCGAATCTGGAGAATCCAAAGATTTTCATCAAAATGAAAATAAAGAGAATATCACCTTGACTCCTGGCTTCAAGAAGACCGTCTTGGATGACTCAGATTTTGGTTCTAAGATGGAATGGCGTGGAATAGTTATTGACGAGGGGAAGGCAAAATTCCATCATGAAGCGACTAAAATTGATGATTCCCAGACTACTTCTACTGATTTCAATTTTAATACAGGGGATATCTATTCTGAAGTGCTTAATTTGGAGGATGATGCACTTTTTGGATTGCTCGAGAAGGATCTACTGGACAATGATTATAATAATAATTAATCTGTTAATAATGGGAACGAGAAGGTGGAGGATCTCAATGTAATCAAAACTGAGTCCTCGGTGTTGCTTGATGGGGAACCACAATTCGCAAGTACTTTGGCTAATAATTCCGAGGATCCTCCTGAACTGAGCTCCTTTCCTGTATTACGTGATAAAACCAACATGAAGTCCAAGGATTGTGGTAAAGGCACTCAACGAGGTGGAAAAGTGCCTAGAGGAAAGAAACGAGCAGCTTACTTTGCTCCATACCCACAAATCAAGATTCTCAATAAAAATGGATCATTTGGCAAGAAAGGCAATTTCTTGCCTAATGGTTCTGTCAGCCCAATCGTTAAATACCAAGGGATGGGGATTAAATTGATAAGGACCTGTGGATACGATAGTTTCGTGCACATCCTCCAATACGCTGCATTAGATGACACCAAATACGCCTAATTCCTTGAAATTTCTAAGAATGAACTGTCGAAATTCGTTTTAGAATTCCTCAAGCATGGTGCCACTACTACAAATCTACTACGTCGATGTGCCCTCCTGTGTAATCATTATCCCCTAAGATCACCAAGGAATGCGACTTCATTAGATCCCTATACGTTGGATTGTAAAGATACGTTGACGATGATTTGGAGAGGATGCTTCGCTGAACCAGTGGCATACCGTCGAACGCAATGCGACAACATTAAATGTTCAGTTGGAACGTCGAGGCCGCTGTACGATTTGTCGGTTGATCATCATATTATCTGCGACAAGGGTTTCAGAGAGGGCTTACCCCTAGCAATTGATGTATTTCGGTCTTGGAGCTGTAAGAGAGTTGGCTGTAGAGGCACAGTGAACGAGGTACTCGAGTGCAAGCCCACCATTTTCATTGAGCTCGACATCCGGGACTTCAGTGCGGGTGGTGGTAACACAAAGATAAAATGTAAATTGGAAGATATACCCGATGAATTGAATTTAGGAGAAATATATCTGTGAGCAATATTGATGCATATGCTGCAACTGATATTCAACTATTGACTCATTCCTTCCTTTCTCCTTCCAGATTAATTGGAGTCATTGAATTCCAGCCTAACATGGAACATTTCGTGGCTCATTGTCGACGAAAAAATGGTTGGCCAGAAGTTGATGATCTCAGCCTAGGACCTCGCACAGAGGAAGCTGCTTTTGAGTTCATTCCCTTTGGCGCCCTTTATATTCGCACATGAAATGACCCCAAAAGTGCCTTACGATACAATCTCGGGAGTAGGTACGGGGAAAATGAACAAGTCCTGTGATATTTATAGTAGAAAGAATAATTAGTGATTCATTAGAAGTTATAGAGAGAGATATATGGATTTATAAGATGTTGAAAAGACAGATGGAGAGACATAAAATTGAAAAATATTTGTAGCGCTTTATTTTCATTGGCAATATTTTCTTGGGAGTATTTACTGCTGAGTATTATTATTAGTATTTTTTTGTTATTCAAGCAAAAAATCCAAGAAAATGATCTCAAAGAAGCAAGTTTTTATACCAAGGGTAGAGAATAGAATAGGAATTCGTTATTTATTAAGTGTTATGAAGTATTATTACGAAGATGGATGTTTCGTACTCATGTATGATACTTTGAAATATTCATTACTGATTTTTCATGAGACTTGTATGCTTCCATCTCTGAAATATTTACTTGTTTAGGTTGCAGCGATGATAATTATAAAATGACATTGTTACGTAACAAAATCCATGGGACGTTGAAGTTTTCATTCTCAAAATTAGTCATTCTGACATTTGTCCCTCTCTCTTCATGTTCAAGAGAAAATGTTTGGAAGACGCAAAAAACATGAAAAAATAATTTTGCTACATCATTGATTCATATGACTTGGAGGTTTGTATTTCTAAATTTAATTATTCTAGAATTCAAGAATTTTTCGTTATCAATATGCAAGGAAAAAGTTGCTAAAGGTTCTTTTGAAGAAACAAGTCTTCTGGTAATGAAGGTAGAAACGTTGATGTGTACTCCATCAAATGTTTTACAGTATTAAGAATATGGGGAGATATGTAATTGAAAAATGTTTGCAGCACTTTGTGCATATGTGTAATACTTACTCCACAGTATTTATTTTTGAATTTCATCATTCCTGATTAGTGTACGCGATCACTAAAATAGTTAAGTGTCGAAATAAGAATAACAACAAGGGGAAATCATTCCGCAACTTAAAAAAATTCCTATGACTTGAAAGTTCGTCAGCTTAAATTTGAAGATTCTGAAGATCGATAATTTTTTTCCATCAGTACTGGAGCAAAAAACCTCCAAAAATTCTTTTAGAGAAGTAAGTCTTGTGGAACTGAGTATATAAACGTTAATTTGTAATTTATGAGACGTTACAAAAGATTATCAGGGAAAGATATATCGTACAAAACTATTTGTAATACCTTGATATTGTTTTATTTGTTCAGGTGTTCACGTAGGTAGTAATATAGGTTTATAGTGTTAGTACTATACGTTTATATGAAACAAGATGCTGAACGTCTTGTTTTACCAGAAATCATAAAAAAAATGTGGACACATTCCATGCTAAGAAATTCGTTAGTACATTGTTCTTGATGCATTAGTGTGTTTACCTAGTAAGAGAATTCAAAAGTTTATTGAAATTTTAATAAAACAATGTTTGATTACAATAAGTTTTGTCTCAATTAGCTCCTCTTCCCCTATTTGTACCCTCCAAAGCTTTCGAGTGCAATCAGAACCAATCCTGAAGACAGAATATGGAAGATGAGACATAAGTTCCACATGGACCTTTCTTGCAGTCTGTAGATGACAACTCAATGAGGTTCTTTTGTACAGACTAACGTGACAAACATCTGGATGATGACATAATGACGTTCATCGTATAAAGTTATTGTGTCTTACCTTCCCAGTTATGCTATTCCTAGCAGGTGTACCTGGCAACATTTCATAGGTTGCCCTGACATTGGGAAAAATTGCTCGAAATGTCTTAATTATTTAGCCATCAGGTTAAAGCATCACAAACACTCACTAATCCTTTCTTTCAGACCCATGACGACTATCATTCATTGGAGTCATGTCAGCGCTTGTGCAGACCTCATTTTGGATTTAAATGATTCCTCACCCGTTAGGGGGAAATTCAATAACTTGGATCGTCTGATTTCCATTGACAGTATTCATCGATTTCCAGGACATTTTTTCTCTGAAGATCCAACTGTGACAATCCGACTGACACTCACATCAAACCATTGAACAATTTTGAGATTGATGGGATCGAATCATTGTGTCATGAAACAAAAATAACTCCTCACGTGTTTATAATTTATTTATCCGGCACATTTCAGTTTTGAACAAATGCCAAAACAGTCTTGATGTATGAAGGCGTGGAGAAACAGCACAGCTGATCGTCCTCGGGCGTACGCCTGTTTAGGTTTAGGGTTCTGGAATCCTATGACAAATTCCCAATCTCCGTTTTGAAATGTAGAAAAAAAAATTTCCTTTATTCTTACTACTGAACAAAATGGTCTAACAGTTAAAATTTTATCTACGTACATCAGAGATTGAATTCAAGAATATTTTTCAAAATTACTTTTATTGAAAATTATACAGAAAAATCATCTTTCTTTATTGCAGAATTGAAACCGAAGATTTGCCCAGTGATGTTGCCAGCGTTTGTAGGGTGACTCGATGAACTCATAGTGTTAACCCAGTATTTATTCCAGAAGGATTCCAATGTACGCTTGTCCAACGATTACTTGGAATAAAAGTGTTCCAGAGGGTGATACGGATTGCAACGAACTCCAAAATATTCGATTTTATTGAGTAGCATCGTCTGCTACTCTCAGGGGGCTTGCTTCCCTGGTTTGAAGTCCTAGAAAGAGTAGAAAAGTTTGGAATGATGAGGAATTTAGTTGGATGAAGAATTATGCTTTGATGAATGAATGGATACCCCAGTAAATACTTATGAGTCTAATTCAGCCTCCAAGTACAACTCAGATCAAACCCGAAGATAAAAAGGATCATATGAGACTCTGATTCAACATAAATCATAGTTTGGGTTGTTCAATTGGTAACATTCATTGTAATTATTTTGAAAATTGATTTTTTGTAGGAAGTTTTCAAAAAGGGACTCCTCAGAATCCTGTTCATTAATTAAAAATGTTTGCATGTTCAGTCTCAATTGTCATTACAAAAAATCGTTTTCGAATTTTTAAGAATGGAAAACTATTGAAAAATCAAATCCCTTCAAGCTCACGTCCTTTGACTTAAAAATAGTTGTTTTCAAGGTACTCACTAAAACAAACTTTTCCAAATTTCACATTCTTATTAAAAAATTCCCTAGTGTCCTTTCAACATACATGTCATCAATAATTATCTGGAGTGAATACCTCAGAGAATCGTTGTTCAATCCCAAAGATGTTGACAAAAAAAAATATTCTCATGGAATTCTTACCTTTTGCAAATATATCCATTAAATACGATTTCCTGACACTTGACGAAATTATATCCTCTGTAGTATTCATCACAAGTTCAAAGGATTCTCGTCCAATTGGATTCCCATTCCTTATATTCAGAAGTGCAGGCCAAGATAAATCATTTTTCTTCGCCTGCCTGAAATGGCCCCTGGCTCAATCTTCCAGATTCCCATTCCCTGGGTGCTTTCAATGGACTCTCCTCATCCTGAACATGAGATACTGATTCAACAACAATCAGGTCCATCATCCCAAATTATGGTTTGCACTGGTATTTGGGTGATGTTCATCAATTCCGCCTACTCCTGAATGACTTAGGATTATCCAGAAGAGAGAACTTTATGTCTGTTGGCTCATCTCATCCCCATTGACTTTGTTGATGGCCTTCCAGGGTATTTTTTTCTCCCAAACCCTCCAATTGTACATTGACACAGGCACTGCATTGAACCCCACAATGTTGAAGTCGATGGTATGAAATAATTTCAGCATTAAATACGAATGATTCCCCAAATATTGTTAATTAATTGAATTGGTTTTAATGCACTAAACCAACATCAAAACAAACACTTCCAATCCGCATGCGATTGCGAGGGGCGAGCACTCAACAGCTGACGGTCCTCCGGGGGAGTCTGCGCGTGTGCAACCTGCCCCCCAAGTCAGAATTAGAAAAAAGTTAATTAAAAAATAAGTATTAATTCCCAAACTCTAAGTCAGTGTTTTTTGGTTTTCCCAAATGATTTTACATCGATCTAAACTGGTCCGATCAATGATTAGTCATACCACCTGCTAACTGTACGCCATATAAAAAAGTAAATAATTATAAATAAACTATTTGTTCCTAAACTATGAAATTAATTCCTAAACTATCCTAAACTATTCCCAAATGATTGGAATTGGTTTCATTCCAAAATTCGCTAATTGCCTGCTAATTAAATGTCCGTGTTATGTTTTGACCGTCCCCTAGTTGGATGGGTCTAAACTAGGTACATCCGCAAATAATGGTACAGGAAGTGGCGGCCATTTTTCTCAGCAGTTTCGGGGGTAGGGCCATCTAGAATCACTGTAGGGAACTGAAAAAGAGAATTTCTTTACCTGTTGTNGGTTTCATTCCAAAATTCGCTAATTGCCTGCTAATTAAATGTCCGTGTTATGTTTTGACCGTCCCCTAGTTGGATGGGTCTAAACTAGGTACATCCGCAAATAATGGTACAGGAAGTGGC